ATACTTGTACAGGGTAAAAGACATGGATCTAGTTTTGGCTTTCTGCATACAGATACACAGTTTTCCCATCAACATTTGTTGAAGAGGCTGATTTTTTCAGAAATCAGGTGAGCATAGCTGCATGGATTCATATCTGGGTCTTCTATTCTGTTCCAATGGTTTTCATGTCTGTACCATGGTGTTTTTATTGCTATGGCTCTTACTGTGATAACACTAGTGTTACTCTTTTTGCTCAATTTTGCCTTGACTATTCTCAGCCTTTTGTGCTTCCAGATGAACTTTAGGGTTAAGTTTTCAATCTCTGTGGTGAATGTCATTGGAATTTTGATGGAGATTGTATTGAACATGTAGATTGCTTTTGGTAACATACCCATTTTCACAATCTTGATTCTGCTGGTCCAAAAGCATGGCAGATATTTCCATCTTCTGTAGTCTTTGATTTCTTTCTTCAGTGGTTTATAGTTTTCACTGTAGAGGTCCTTTACTTCCTTTGTTATGTTTATCCCTAGGTGTTTTATTTTTTTTGGAGGGGGCTATTATAAATGGATTTGTTTTCCTATATTCTTTCTCAGTCTGTTCATTGTTGGTATATAGAAAGGCTACTGATTTTTATAAATTGATTTTGTGTCCTGCTACTTTGATGAAGGTGGTTATGATGTCCAGGAGTTTTTTGGTGGAGTTTTCAGGGTTATTTTTGGTATAAGATCATGTTATCTGAAAATAGGGATTGTTTGACTTCTTTTCCTGTTTTAATGCCTTAATTTCTTCTTCCTGTCTTTTTGTTCTAGGTAAGAATTCCAAGACTATGTTGAATAAGAATGAAGAGAGTGGACATCCTTGTCATAGTACAGATTTTTATAAATTTTATGAAGTCCACCATTCATTTTATCTTTCTTGGGTGCACTTTTTATGCAGTCTAAAAACTCATTGCCAAATCCAAGGTCACCTAGCTTTTCTTCCTTTTTATCTTGTAGGAATTCTATAGTTGTGCATTTTACAATTAGGTCTTTGATTCATTTGGGTTGACTTTTGTGAAAGATTTAAAGTTATTATTTTCTTTTGCATTTGATGTCCAGTTGCTCCAGTTCCATTTGTTAAAAGACCATCCTTTCTCTCTTTCTCTATTGAATTGCTTTTACCTCTTTTTGAAATAGTAGTTGACTATATTTTTGTAGGTCTTGATTACTGAAGCTTTATATAGTAAAAGCTTTATATAGACAAAGTTGAATAATGTCAGTTCTCTGACTTTGTCCTTCTTAATATTGTTTTGGCAACTTTGGTTCTCTTGCCTGTTCATAGAATCACGTTGTTGATACCTACAAAATAACTTCTGGAATTTTGATTGGAATTGTTTTGAACCTAGCATTTAAAAATACAACCATGAACATGAAAATAAATTTATTTAACTTGAAATTTTTTATTAATGGTGAGGAAAGAAACACTAAAGTGGTTTTGAAGACAACTCTGACTAGGTAAGAAATGAAGAAATTTCTCTTTCTTTGTCTCTCTGACACACACACACACACACACACACACACACCCCATTCCCCAGCACTTAGCAATCTAACTTATGATTCACAAAAGTTAATATTAGTACAAAACTACACATTTTAGTAAACAAGAAGGTTTGAAGAAAGTGGAAAAAAATAAAGTTATAGATGTAACCATATAATTGGGGAGATTTCTTTGTAAGTATAATAATTATTCAGCAATGCGATTTTTAAGATTATGGATGGAATATGTGGATCAAGTGCTATATGTAGATTCCATTTTTCCCTTCACCCCCTCTTTTCTCCTCCCTTTCTCCTCCTTCCTCTCTTCCCTTCCCTCTTCTCTATCCCTTCCCCTTTCCTCTCTAATCCTCTCTTCCCTTCCCTTTTCCTCCTACTTTCTTTTGTCCTCTCTTCTCCTTTCTCCTCTCCTCGTCTCCTCTCCTCTCACAGATAAGAAATAAGGATACCATGTAAAGAGTCTTTTCTGTAGTTTGTCTGCATACTTTTTTTTTTTGCTATACTTAGAGAACAATATTAAATAATATTGGTGATAGTGGGCCTTTCTTTTTCATGCTTCTTTAAACACTAAACTCATTTTTTGCCTTAACCCACATCTATATTAGAGTTCACTGCTTTATATCAGCCAGCCTGCCTAAACTATGCCCAGTCACGTAGATTCTCCTTCACTAACATACTGTTGTCCACAACAGCTTGTAGTCTGCTGTTGCTTTTACCACCTGTCAACTTAATGTGGGATGTTGTTGCCAGGAGCACCCATTTTGTCTCATCCCTGTTTTTTTTTTCACCGTTTTACATCTTTGCCCTTGGATTTGTGCCTTTAGTCTTGGGAATTGACTTTACCTCCCATTCTATTTCTAAGATTCAGCTAATTATGTGAACTATATCATTACAGAAGCTTAAGTCTCAAGATCTTCATTTCTTTCTGTCCCAGACCCTCATGCTAACAGTTTCATTTTCTGAAAATAACCTCTGTTACCTATTTTCTTTATCTTCCATCTTTGTTACTTTCTGCTTCCTTGATTTCTCAGTTATGTTCATTTTCTCTTCTACCAGACTTCAAACATTCTCACAGTGGGGTTTTGTTATTTTTAACTTATTGTCAGATGGTTTACTAACAAACTAAAAAGATAAAAGGCAAATGTGGTAATATTTTAAGTCGGTAAATTTCAAAGGTATGTGCTTGTTCTTTACAGTATTGTTTTGACATTTATGTTGAAATTTTTTTGATGCAAATAACTTGGAGGCTAATAGTGCAATAATTTGTTTTTCTTTTATATTTACTACATATATCATCTAATCACTTTAGCATATATTATTATTTCAATTAATACTTATATCAGCATAAGGAGGTAAGTACTATTATCTTCATTAATATATGAATGAGGAGAATGAAATGTAGAGAGATTGTTACATAGCTAACAAGTGACTACCGAGATTTAAATTTAAATGATCTGTGCAGATAATTTTGAAATGAATTAAGGCATGGCTTTGTTTTTAAAGGGCTTATAACCTAATTAGCATTTTAAGTGAATAGCTACTGTAAGGCAGGATTTAAACCTTAATCCAAGGTCAGGGCTAGCTTTTTAATCTAATGTGGCTTTTCTTGACACCAGACCTTAATTGTTATACTCAGTTAGTGATCAAGACTTTTTGACTCTTCCCTTGAAACATTAAAAGTCTTTTTGGTGGGCCTGGGATTTGAACTCAGGGCTTTCTACCGCTTGAGCAACACCTCCAACCCATTTTGCTCTGCATATTTTAGAGATAGGATCTCACCAAGTGGGTTGGCCTCAAACTACAATCCTCCTGATCTCAGCCTTCCAAGTAGCTAGGATTATATGCATGAGCCACTGACCCATTGAAATTTTAGTTCCATGCATTTGGTTTTCATTTATGTGATCCTACTATAAGCCTATATTCCATTCCATTTCTCCTCCTCCTCCTCCCTGATGGCAGTTCTAAGGTTTGAACTCAGGACTTTGTGCTTGCAAGGCAGGTGCTCTATTGCTTGAGCCATGCCTCTAGCCCCCATACCTGATTCTCCTGCTCCTTCAATGTCTTTCCTCTCTAATCTTTCTTTTACTAATACGGCAAAAGAAGAAGTAAATACTAATAGGATTATTAACTGGTATCAATTTTAATGTGATTGTTTCTAGATTATAATTCTAAAGCAGTGCTTTTGACATGTCACAGCTACCGAAGTTTAGAATCTCAGAGAGTAAATCTTAAAAGAAAAAAAAAACCTACTAGCTAAAATCCATGTTCTTTACCCATTCATTGGAAAGCAACAACAACAACAACAATAAAAAGACAAAAGAAAACTCATTCACAAATGAAAAGAAAAAAGAATATGCAGTCAGTCTCTGCATGGGATTTATAATTTGGTTGCATGGCAAGCAAACATAGTATGTTGTGGTATGTACTTTAAGGGGACATAATACAGGGATCTGTTAGTAATACCAATGCAGGACCTAGGGGGTTAGGGGAGAGTTTTTTGAAGAAGTGCCAACCAACTTAAGGTGATTTCTCCAGACCAAGCGCATATGGAAAGCAGGATGACTGGACTGGCAAGGACCTCCAGAGGGTTAGGGCCTGGTTTTGGAAATGAGAACGATTGTGGCATGCTCTGGGCATCTCAGATAATTAGCTATGAATTAAATCATTCTGAGGAAGACTAGTGTCAAGGGAAGAAGTTGAACAATGTCTCGGACTCAAACTATCTGTGGCATAAAAGCCATTTTTAAGACTCTCCTTATCCCTGGAAAGCATTCCTTGCTTTTGTGTCATTATTTCCCCTCCCAACCCCATAGAAATTGTAGTCTTTCATTTCAGTAAAACTCAAATTCATCCCAAGTTCTTTGCTACCCCAGAGAATTTCCCAAAACGTATTAACTTTTTTCATGAAAATACAGCCTTTTTATTCTTTACTATGCCTTTGCTAAATGATTCTATATTAACTTGTTTATTACTACATGGTTTTCATCGTACATTATGCAGCTTGTACATCTGTTTGGTCAAGATGGATAAATTCATGCTAGTTAATTTATCACTTTTGAAATTTAATAATTCAAAGGTGTTTCAAACTAATAAAGCAGAATTATATGGGACCAAATTAGGATCTTACGTATTGGTGAATAATTTAAAAGCTCATAAAGGGGAGGGGGTGTGGGCGGGGGGAGGTGAGAAATGACTCAAGCCTTGTATGCACGTATGAATAATGAAAATAAATAAATAAAATAAAATAAAATAAAAGTTCATAAAGATCATTTTCTTGGGTTAAGAGAAAGTCAGTCATGAGGTACTCAAAAGTAGTTTCAGGGAAACTGTGTTTCCAGTGAAAACATTCAATGACTGAGGCTAATACAAGCCAGAAGCTATGTGATAATGATAAATGATTTGTAAAAGATCACTGCATTAATTTTATTACCTTTACTTCTCTCTGAAGTTTTGTGTCTTTTCCCTCCATCTTCTTCCCCGCACTTCCAGAGGCTCTCCTTATAGAGAATCCCCTTTGGGTCATTTTGAAAGCTATGGAGGGACCCCCTTTTTCCAGGCTCAGAAGATGTTTGTAGATGTGCCAGAAAACACAGTGATACTGGATGAGATGACCCTTCGACACATGGTCCAAGATTGCACGGCTGTAAAAACTCAGTTACTAAAATTGAAACGTCTGCTGCATCAGGTGAGTACATCGCGAACATTTCTAGCTCTAATAGTTATTGATAAGTGGATTCCCTTTCCCTTTTTTGTGCATAAAATTTCTTGGGTTTCTAGCACCCAAGAAATTAGATTTCTTTAGAAATAATGCCTGTAAATAGTACACAGTCAAAACTCTTGTTGGAAAAAAATGGGAATTTTGCATAATCATTTCAATATACAGCCTCAGTATTTATGAACTGTTTATTTGGTAAGCCAATCTCTTTAATTTCTCTTCCTCATTTTTATAATGTTAACCTTGTAAGGTTGTAGAAAGATTTAGGAATTGTAGCAATCTAATACCAGAGACAGTAGGAATTCAGTAATCAGTGGCTGCTACTTTTGGTTTCAGCTAAATGGGAAATAAGAAAGACCAGTTTTTTTTTTTCTTTTATTATTCATATGTGCATACAAGGCTTGGTTCATTTCTCCCCCCTGCCCCCACCCCCTCCCTTACCACCCACTCCACCCCCTCCCGCTCCCCCCCCTCAATACCCAGCAGAAACTATTTTCCCCTTATCTCTAATTTTGTTGTAGAGACAGTATAAGCATTAATAGGAAGGAACAAGGGGTTTTGCTGGTTGAGATAAGGATAGCTATACAGGGCATTGACTCACATTGATTTCCTGTGCGTGGGTGTTATCTTCTAGGTTAATTCTTTTTGATCTAACCTTTTCTCTAGTACCTGTTCCCCTTTTCCTATTGGCCTCAGTTGCTTTTAAGGTATCTGCTTTAGTTTCTCTGCATTAAGGGCAACAAATGCTAGCTTGTTTTTTAGGTGTCTTACCTATCCTCACCCCTCCCTTGTGTGCTCTCGCGTTTATCATGTGCTCATAGTCCAATCCCCTTGTTGTGTTTGCCCTTGATCTAATGTCCACATATGAGGGAGAACATACGATTTTTGGAAGAAAGACCAGTTTTTAAAGTGTCATATAATTTAATTTTTGCTTGAGACTTTCAAGTTTAATCTTCCCTAAGTCTTATCTTTTGAGAAAGACGGATAATAGTGATATGACTTACTCAAAATCATGGGATGAGCTGAGGTAGACTTTGGTTTCTGATTCAAGAAAACTTTGCGTAAACATTTAGCATTTACAGACAAGGTCAGATGCACAGTAGGAAGCCAAGGAATAAAATACTAATTTTGAATTGTGGATAACTATTTTTTTTGGCGGAACTCAGAACTTCACACTTGCTAGACAGGGTGCTCTACCATTTAGACCACTCCACCAGCATTTTTGTGTTGGGTGTTTTAGAGATAATACCCAACTCTTTGTCTGTGCTGGCCTTTAACCATGATCCTCCTGATCTCTGCCTCCTGAGTAGCTAGGATTTCAACTGTGAGCCACTGGTGTCTGGCTTTTGTTTGGTTTTAAATCTATATTCGTATTTTGTGTACTAGCCATACCTAATTTAAAATCATGGTTGAAAAAGAATACCCTGACTTCTCTCTGATACTCAATTTCCTTTCTGGGTCACTTTCTTCAGGGTTGTATGTTTTAGCTTCACGTAAATGAGCAGGGACCAAGTCCTAGAATTCCTCTTGGCCATTAAAACCAGACTCATGGTATTTGTCCAGTAAAGGCTAGCTGAAGTAAAGGGTCATAGCAATGCTTGTGAGTATAAATATTCTGATACAGTTGGGTTAATCACTTCATATTATTTAGTTAGGATTTTTTTTACTATTATCCATTATTATTCACAAGAATGTATCCATTTCTGTTTAGCCCTTGAGAAGTGTACTACATTCTTGTTCATTTGATATTTGATTTCCTTTTGAAAAGAAACTTTTTTGTGCTAAGACTGGGAGCAAGAGAGTGAAGGAACCTTTTTGGATCTGGGATTCTTAGACTCCTCCTAAGGTATAAATAGATGCCATGATTGACATATCCAGACATAGAACTTAAAACCCAAGTTGAAGTGTATCTAGGGAATAGGCTTTGTTCTATAGTATTCCCTGTTGGCTGGCTGGGGAGATTTTCTGATCAGGTGCTTCAGCTCAAAGGAACTAGGAGGTATGAAAGGGTGGGAAACAGCTATAATATATTAAATACCTTCTTTATCCAGTCACTGGTCTACCTACATCCCATACCCTCTTTTGTGTCTGGGAATGTTGCCACAAGTCATGAAGCATGATTAAATATCAGCTGATAGACTGTAGTATCTCTAAAAATGAGAGCATGATCATAGTTGAGGAGGGAGTTGGTGAGTTGATAACCAAGGACTAGCACTACAGAAATGAAAAGTGTTTGTTTGAGGTACTTTATGTAAAACTGTGATTCTCTTAATGGTTTTTTCTGTCATTATGACCTCTGAAATTTTAGGTTTGTATATACGGAGCAAATTGATCTTACTTTTTGCTTGTTCAGTGAGAACAAAATTGTGAGGAGAGAATTGCAGAATCTTTTTTAGGGTATCTTGGATGATTCCTAAATGGTAAAGTTAAAAACTGAACAAGTGCAAGATTTCTATTATTCCCTCTTTTAATTTCTTTCCTATTTAATTTTACAAAATTAAAAAATATCAATGTCAGACATATGCATGGTTATAAAAAGGTTTAATGACAAAACATTATTTCTACCATGTCAGTCAACCTATTATCAGAACAGGTCATTGTCCATAGTTTCCCTAGAGCTGTCTGCTGTCTGCAGGGACTTCCTTTTGCCACAATCTGGATTAGAATCCAGTATTTCCTAAATAGCACATCTTCTTTCTTTTCTCCCAGTTAACTCTGTCATTTTGATGGCGTATACCCTTAATTTATTTTCTAAGAGAGGATGAATGGACAGAAAACTCTTTATGTTATTACATTACCAAAAATTTCTTTATTTTACTTTCACATTTAATTGATATTAGTAATTTGGCCAGTGTGGAGTAGTTTTGCTGGAACGAAAGTGAGACATCTATAGGCATTGCTTTTCTAGGATCCTGTTTAGCCATTGGGAAGTGTACTACATTCTGGACCACTTTGAGTTTTATCTTGTGTTTTTTAAAAATCTGGGCAATTTAGAATTTTTTGGCATTCTGCCATTTTGTAGTCATGCCTTATGATTTTTGTTGTAGTTCTTGGCGAAAACGTGATGTTTCAGCATTGAGGTTCTTTGGAGATTCATGTAGTGTGAAATTTTCTGAAATTATTTCTATAGTTATTTTCCTTCCCCCTTTTTCTGTGTTATCTATCTTTCTGGAATTTTTAGTAAGCAGAACCTAGAATTTTTCAGTTGAGTCTTATTTTGTTATTTCTTTCATATAATCCTTTTGGAGGTTTGATTATGTTTTCTGGTGTATTGTTTTCAACTTGCTATCCCAGCTCTGTATTGTTAATTAACTGTTTATCTTAGCGATCATATTTAAAATTTCCAATTAATTCCTTGTGTGTGGGGATACTAGAGTTAGAACTCAGTGCCGTGTGCCCAGCAATTTTTGCTTTAGTTTAGTTTTAGGATAGGATCTCACATTTTTGCTCTGCGCATTGTGCAGTTACCCTCCTGTCTCCATCTCCTGGGTAGCTGGAATTGGGCCAGCTTGTTTGAAAGAGGATCTTACTAATTTGTTTCTAAGTTCTGGCCTGGAACGACCATCCTTCTATCTCTGCCTCCCATATAGCTGGGATTACAGGTATATGCCATCACACACTGTCCATTATATACCATTTCTTATTCATATATTTGTTTTGTTTGAAACTATATTAAGCATAAAGTTTCTTTCTGTTTTGTTTTATTAATCTCAGGTTCCTTGCATTATCTCTTTTTAAAGGATGTTTTCTGTATTTTTGTTTGTCATTGTTTTGGAAATTTTCTTCAAATATATACTGATTCTTTGTTGTTGATTAATATTTAAGTGAGGAACTAAAACAGTGATTCAGGACTGTACATGAACCAAGTTTGCCAACCAGCTGGCTTCATTTTATGGTGATGAATGGATGAATGGATGCCAGGAAGCATTTTTCCTTTCTGAGGTTTCTCCAGAGAAGAGTCCTCTAATTTTTGCTTAGAATAAAGGCAGAAGCCTGGGAATATATTTATTCATTAAAAAGATTTTCATTTAATTCCCACATTTTTATCCTTAAAAGTTTATACAATTACCTTTTTTTGTGTGTCTGTTAAAACATGGGAAAGAAGAGAGGAAGGAACCAGACCAATTCAGAAAGTTGGATATTTTTAGGAAAAGTAATGAGGATTTCCTTAGTTTCTTAGAGTTCTGAAAAAGAGTGTGGGGCAAAACGATAGCACTATGCTAGGAGAAACATAAAGCACAATTAGATGCAGTGTGAGAGTCTTAATTCCATAATTGGTGTGGACAAGTAGCTATAAAGGACATTTTGGGTCAGCTGGGGAATTTCATAATGGCCTGAATTTAAGATCAGATAGAAATTTTTTAAAATGGAATGGTAGAGATTGATTTTTAACTGGAAAAAATTGGTTATAAAGCAGCATGTACATCATGATCCTATGTCTGTATCTTACCGATATATCTTCAGAAATATGTGCTCTAAGCAGTTAACAGTGATGATTCCTCCATAGTGGGAATGTGATTGGGTTTTTTTGGTTATTGTTTTCATTTAAAATTTAAATCTAAATTTTAAAATTTTCCACCATATATATTTACTGCTTGTGGAAAAAACAAGGTTATTTTAAGAGTACATGTCCTGTTCAAACATCAGTTGATAATTGGATATGGTTATAATTTAGGGTCCTAGAGAAGAGGCAGGAGTGACAGACAAGCTTAGGGCAGATTGTCAAGGGGACTGTGTACCAGCTTAGGCATTATTCTGTTGGTAGTAGAAAGACAGATGAGCGACTTAGCCAAATTGGCATTTTAATAATGTTCCTCAAAGGAATTTATGGAAAATGAGTATGAGGGGTTGACAAGTTATAATATTTAGGAGGCTATTGTAGACTTCCAGATTTTAGGCTAAATTTGTTAAGTTTAATTACTTTGAGAATATAGTTGGAGTTTAGTGCACTTTTCCATGCATTTTCTACG